GACGGACGACTTGGCTGCCGAGATCGTCAACCCGCGCTGAGTGAGGAAGTTCACGCGAAGCGGGCTTCTGTTGATTGGAACCCTCGAGGATGGCGTCGCTGAGCTCAAAAAGCGCCGTTGTTGTACCACGACCCTATCTAAAACCATGTTGTTGGCTAGACAGATCTGCTGCAGACGTCAGAATTGGGTGGAGGAGTAATTCCAGAACCTTCGTCAGTGGACTGAGGAGGGCGATTTGGCGATACGATTAAGGCTAGGAAGGTGTGTATGGGTACGCGTGTAATGCGGTTCAATTCAGTGCTAACAAAAAAAAACAACTCACTTTAACGATTAAAGTGGACATATCACTTTTTTTCATTGCCAGTGTACTACTGCCCTTTGTCGTCCTTTAAACTGCCCCACTTCCATTGGCATTTTTTTACACGTACACCCATCGATTGTGTTCGTTAGGGGGGTCGTACAAACATTTATTGCCTTGAGTTCTGTTGATGCCATAAGGGGAGACAACTCTGTCTCCCGCAAATCTGATTTTAAATCAGAGATATTCCTTTGTAAGTCTCCCTTCTCCTTGCCTCTTTAGCTCGACTACGAGTCCGCATGAACGTTCCTTCAGCTCCCCCGTGCCTATGCCTCCCAGCTCCGGCAATGCAGCAGATATGTCCGCTCTCGTGGATGCAATGACTCTCAGTGTCCCTGGACCTGGTGGGCAGGGTCTAGTCGCCCACAGACCCGGCTCGATGTCGGTTAGTTTTGCAAACAAGTCCTATTTTTGCCACTCCTTAACACATGCATTGGTGAGTGCGGTTAAGAGCGCACATGCATTGGCCCTCTGTAATCCATCTGACGTACTACTGATTACTTTGGCTGTCTAACCACTCGATTAGGAACAATCGACCCCTATTAATGGAACTACCTTCTAGTTTTCTCTCATACGCGTCATTTGCTGCTGTTTTCTGTCGCTCCCACCAAAATTCATAATTAGGTGATCCCTAACCCGTGCTAGAAATTAACTCCTGTTTTTTTTCTGTTTACGAAGCTAGTGACTTTCGAAATCGTAGGTACCGAGCAAAAGTGGCCAGGCCGCGCCCTTTAAGTCACCAAGCCACGAGTCTTCGTCTCTCAACTGACAAAACATAGCTGCGTCCATTTTGTGGGTGTGCTTGCCTATCCAAAACACGCAAATAAACTGGAGTAAGCTTACATAGACTTGGCTGGATTTGCAAACAGAAAAGAGTCATAAAGATGGTTGCATGTTTAGTTTGGTTTTTTGTCTCCTGGAATTTCGACATAGTTTAAGCCAGATTCAGGTTGGTGTACGATCACCACTATCAAGGTTTTAACGTTTTACTGGCCACTTATGTACGTCTTTTATGGTCGCAGGCCTCAGTGCCAAGCTGTAGTCCTCACTGCACGGGATTCGGTGTTAGTTGCGTTTAATAGTTTGTAACTTTATACAAACACTTTTGAGCGTCTGCCAT